CAGAAGACGGTTCTTGATGGTGCCCACTCATGGGATCGCCCAGTACCCCATTCTTGCCCACTCATGAGATCGTCCAATACCCCATTCTATCTTGAAATATCCGTCTAAACGCAATTTAGCATTACGAGATGTGGGAGATGGATTTAACAGGATGATCGCGTAAGACGAGTTGTTCAAGAAAAAGTTCGTCGTGGTCGCATTAAGTTTTTCAATGCTCATAGAATTAGACACGTCAAGGACCACCCACTAAAGTTATAAGGCCATTTCAGCAACACTCGTACAACACCCTCTACCATTCGTAACAGAAAAAATCTTTTCCCTTGATGGTATTTCCCCCATTTGCATTGGAAATTTGCCGAATTTGCATCCCGTTCCACAAACTTACCTTCAAATAATTAAAAGGGAGCAAAATCTGTTGGGTTTGGCCTCAACACTCCGCGCACCGCGGTCTTTTCATTGACGATAACTGCACTAGGCCTGCTCACAAGGACTTTCGAGCCGGAGAGATGGCCTACTGCAGCTGAGGATTCTGAATCACCTCGGACTAGGATCCACGGAAGGGAGTGAATGATTCGTCTTCAATTTTGAATCATTCCCTTTCAGCTTAATGTCAGATGAGTGGGTGAGAGACTCAAAAGAAAACTGATGCTCAACTTACCAGGGCAATCTCCCCAATAGATGCACGCCCCTTCATAACGCACGTAGTTGTCGGCACATGTGCATGCAGATTTTTCACACGTTGCTGGGCAAGGAGCCGTATCGTACATGTTTGCGCAGCTGGGCTCACATGCCGTTCCACATTTTGCCCACGTCGAATTTGTGGGGCACGACGGCTCGGCCTGAAAAACGCGTATGACATTCAACGCCCTGCTTCTTCATTTTTAAAACTGTATAGGATGTTCCCTCAAGATTGAGTATCTTTACCAGTGAAAGGAGTGCGGGAAGGAAATAAATGCCAGAGCAGCTCCTGCCTAGGCCGTCGACAAAAAATTGGTTCAAAATTCGCCTGGGAGAATAAGAACACTGACCTTTACAGCGGTTGTCCTCACATGTCATTATGTAGGCCACTTAGCACTTAATAAAGCTCTACGATCCTGAGATGGTAAGGCTAGGATGCGTACCCGTATCCCAAAGGGCCTGCATACAGCACGCGACTTCACTTTAGCATGGGAGGCGAAGCTGGAGATAAAGCCTCTACGGAGATGAATAGAAAGTAATACTCCATATCAAGAATTTGACAATTACCCTTTGGAAAAGTTACAACAAGCTCAGTTTTGCCACTATCTCAACCCTTCTTGGGATGTGCCACACATTCTCCTTCCATTCATGATCGCAGTGGCTTAGTGAATGCGATGCGGCTGTTCAATGACTTGAGGGGGCGAGGGGGGCAGCCGATATATGAGTCATCATTTTTTATCTCGCTAGCGGATTGCTGATGCCAATTTAAGGTTCTCGGAGGGTAGAAGGCTTGATTGGTCTGAGCAGTAGTCTATCCAGTAGATGACCTCGGAACCGAGCGCGTGATAAGGGTGCCACTTCCACTATACCACCTTCGCTCCACCTTTACCCATAACTGCTCGGGAACCCCTCTGTGGTTAATAATTGTCTTCAGCGGTAGCTTGATCCTTGGGTAGGAACCAGAATCACTTCGCATGAAATATCACAATCATATACCGTTGAGAGGAGATAGAACGATGATCCGCCGAAAATTCGGCGGCAGCCTGAAGTTTTTGAGCCAAACCGGGTGATGCCCTCATACAGGGGTTAAGCCACCCTCGTTGAGCAACTTCCGATAAACTCAACTTTTGTAAACTTTTGTTTTTTCTAAGATCCAAAGAACCAGTTGAGGGCTACCTGTTCTTCTAACAGGACGCTCTTTGTACGCTTACCTCCTTGTCGCAGAAATCAAATGGTACGCAAGCCTCCTCGTCGTTAGTCATTCGCACAAAGCCTTCCTGAAGCACTCACAATTAAGATTCCCTAGCCATGGCGAGCAAGAAAAACTGTAATACCTTGCAGACACATCGGGCACTCCCACACGATCGTGGACAATTTGGAATGGTCTCCGGGAATCGTGTCCAATCACACGAAGGTTCGCAATCCCGTGACATTTCGGGACATGATGACCATTGCTCATTTGGGCCGCAGTCTTCGCCTGAAAAGACCGCTGAAGCTCAGGCGCAGAGAAGATACATATGTTGGACTTACTGCTCGTCTCATTAGATGAAATGGCAGTGGTGGTAGTGATGGTGGTCCTGAAGGAGGTAGTGGAGGTGGTGGAGGTAGACGGCCTGGTCGTGATTCGAGTCGTAGTCCCAGTAGTCGTCGTTACGGGACGCGCTTCGGGTGGCTTTATCTCGACCTTGTGCAGGGTATGGGTACTTGTCGATACTGTAGCTGAAAAAATACAGTAATCAAAAGAAGTACAATACGGTTGGGAACGCAGCATCGAACTCACTTGACGGTTGCTTAAATTGGTCGGCAATTTGAGAACATTGTGCATCCTGTGGCTTCCATCCAATAGCCGCCCATGACTCGCCGGGATACCGTAGAACCACTTCGATTTCGTCCTAAACAAGATATGCTGCGAAGATGCTCAAAGAGGTGTATTCTGAAAAAATCTTACGTTGAGAATTCGCCAGAATATTTTGTTATTTTCCACTTCTTTCATG